TGTAGTCATGTTGTTGTTGTACATACCTGTCCTTGATTAGCCATAAAGAATGATAGCAATGGATCCATTGATGTATTACCAATAAAGTACCTATCCTTCAAAGAGTATTTCTGACATAAGTGACGTTGTCCTTTACCAATCTGTGTATTGAGATTTGAATTGAATTAATTCACTTATTGATTAATTTTTGATTATTTGATTGTTRAACTGAGTTTCTGACTGACAAAATAGCTAAAAGATAAATTTGTTGATTTTCTGAACTGATTTATTGATTGATTCACAGCTTCAATGATTGACAGGTGTCAGTTCAAAAATAACAGAACATAGGTTCCTTGACACCTCAGTTCAATGCTTTGTTCATGGTCACTGGACCACGGGTATGGAATTAGTCTTTTATTGATCAATGACTCTACTTGAAAATCCACAAATATCATATTCTTGCTGAGCAGTTCATTCTTGGACTGAAAGCAGTTCACTTACCAAACSTCCAAAAWAATATCTACAAGGYGTTTCAGCTGCTACATTTGTATCTTGCCCAAAGTCCAGGACAAGAGAAAACTGATTTTCTGGATTATCCAAAGCAACTTTTCCTTTAAATGGTAAAAATGAAAGTGCCTGTGGATCCAGATGTGAAATGAAATAAAAAATGAATGAAACTTATTATTCTAGAATACATATTTTTTTTATTKTTAATTAAAATTACTAACCTCATAATAATGCTCCCTATGTGATTGAGGTATCTTTTTGTTATAAGTTTCCACATTGATTCTGAATGTTGCTTCTTTGCTGCAATAGGGTTGCTTTGGAGGACAAATATAAAAAAAATCAGTTTTTTATCGTTCTTTGTTTGTCCATCTTTATTGATTAGACATATGAAATGAGCTTTAGCGACCATATCAAATTGAAACATTCATTAATGTTTTAATAGTGATGATATCGTAACAATCTATAATTATTTGAATGTTGATCTTTTTGCAAAAATGAGCAGTAACTGTGTTATTTAACTTACCATTCTCCTAGTTGGATATTTCTTAAGATCTTCACATAGTTGATCTAATGTTTTGCCGGTTCCCCAAAGTTCAAATAGAGATCTATTATATTAATGATAAATACTAATATTAATTATATTCATTTTCAAATCACAAGCAAATCATGCAATCTGATTGTTTCTTAGCAGGTTGATTTTAGCCTAAATCGCACCATTTTGAACTCTTAATCACACTCCTTTGAGAAGCAAATATTGTATTTGTATGAATTAATAAACGTTTGTACTGTACAATGTGTTAGATTTCAAAATGGATAGAATTAAGTGGTAATTGAACTTCGTGTTATGCAATTTTGATTCGAAATCAAACCTTGTGATTACAAATAGCACTCCTGCTACATGTACGTGGTTGTGCGATTTTGAATCACGTGTTTGATTTCGAACCAAATTGCACTCCACTCAGTTCAATTACCATTTTAATTAATAATAATGTAACTACCATTGAAATTTTTATACCATGAATTTGATCCATTATCAAAGAATGTACAATTGTTAATAATGATGTTTAAGGTTAGATTTCATGAATTGAGACAAAGTACGCAGCCTCACATTAGCTGAGGGTGAAACCAATGGACCTACGAAGCTTTTACATCATTACTTGATTTACAATGCATTGTGGGGTCAGTTTCTAGAGAAAGCAAAAGAAATCCGTCATGTTTTGTCCCAAACATATCCTACAATGCATTGCGTATACAGTACATGACGTAAAAGAGGTCTGTTGATGCAAGGGTACATGACATGCCAGGTTATGGCTGCAGTTTCTGGCGAAATAATAAATACGTAGTACTTACTTGATAGATAAAGATCTTGAAAGCATTTTTTGAGCATCATCTTCAAGTGGAAGGACTATTTCAAGAAAAGGACTCTAAAAATGATAAAATATTT